TCACTCAGATCTCCAAAGTGTCTGTCAGCTGCTTTTCAAATGAAAGAATAAATCAACTGTTCAATCCGCCTGCTATTTTCCAGCCAAGTGTGAGCTTGCTGCTTGAACCCTTTAGATGAGAAACATCGACTCTTAGACTGAAATCTATGGCTGATTGATACGAAACAGTTACAGCAGCAGCAGAGTGTCTCTGGAACGTGGCTGGTTTTGGATCAGAGGAGCCTCGTGGTTCTGGGGCTGTCAAATGTGCATTTGACAATAAAGTATCTTTACCTTTAACTTTATTATAAGAGGCTGACAAGGAGAAAAAAGATCATTGTCATTGTAGCGAGAGAAAGACAAAAATCATCATCCATCTTAAACCGTAAAACATATTAAAACCCAAATATATACGGTATGTATAGTGTTTCTTAAAGCAGACATAAAAGAAGTAGCCAATAGAGAGGCTTGAACAAAAGTGGCAATAAATGAATGCACTATAGTAACTTTATACTGTGGCCTAAAGCATTTTGAAGGAGTTGTAATCTCACATAAAAATGATCCACTTGTGCTCCCGAGCCTCTTACCTTCTGATTCTGTACCGAACACACAGCAACAGTCCGCTAAAACCAAAAAAACAAGCAGCTCCCAGCACAACACAGACTCCAACACAAACCCCACATACAGATAGAAAACAAGAAAACAGGTTTATGTGCTGAAGCCCGTCGGGACAAACGAGAATCAGATCGACCTCGGGAGGTAACGCAGTCAACGTCTGACTTCAGACTTGAATCAGGGAGAGACCTCCGCTTTGTTTTGGAGCACTTCTTACATCCTGTTGGACAGGTAAACTAACATTACTGCATGTGAAACATATTGTGAATTTGTCTTTTAGTTGGCTCAACTTAGATAATGTTGCTCATCCTGTGTACCGGTAATATGTCAAAGTGTTGATTTAGCCTGAAGACGTGATGGAGAAATGATCTGATTCTGAGAACGTTTGTCAAGGAAATCGTATATTTCCTGGTGCAGAATTGAAGAAAAACTGGATTAAAACAAACGGTTGTCTTCTGGTATTTATTAAAGGAGAAACAACAGAGAAGCACAAACATCAGCTGGCTCAGAGCAGTATCAGACATATGGCCCCGAGCAAACCCTCACCTTGAAAACTCCACGTAGAGGCGGAACAATTTCATACACACATTAATCCTGACATGTCCTAGTGGACGTTGTAATGCCAGAGAAGGCAAGTACACGATAGTAGATAAATAATTATCAGCAGGTCCACAGCTTCTCCACCTTCTGTAACTAACGTGAGCCACATAACAATCAGTTGTAAAGTGTGGCAACAAAATAATTTGTAATATTTTTGTTCTCATCCAATACATTTAGCTGCGCTCACATAGCTGAGCTAAAGATACCTTACAGTTATTGAAAAGCCGCAGGGAGCTAACGTTGATGTGTGACGTCGGCTAAATGCAGTCATATAACGAGCAGGCTGAGAAAATACATACAAGCACATCCCTGGTTGCAATCTAAAAACCACACAGCTAGGGGCCGCTGAAAACTACAGAACACCTCTCTAAGATGGTCAATATTACAAAGGTAAACATATATTCTGACACCATTTTGACGTCTTGTAAATCTACAGAAAGATTCCTGCTGTAAAACAGGGACCGACATGATGATGTGAGGATGTCAGACAGTCTGGCCTCGGCCGTCTGGACGTCACAGCTGCTCATCAGAGTCTGGAGGCTGGAACAGAAAGCAGAGTTCAAACAGTCCAGATGAGATGTCACTCTGAGGAGGCTCAGCAGGAGTGGAGCTATGATTCAGAGTTTGTCCTGAGGGGGGCGCCACAGGATAGATGAAGGGGCTCACGCTCTGAGCTAACTGGCTCAGGGGATTTCTCTGTCTTAAATAATTCAATATACTTTATTTCTGTAGCAGGATTCATGCTTGGATTGTTATATTTTCATATTCTTGCAGCTTTTTAAATGTGTTTTGGTCACGTTAATATCAGAGTGCATGGATTGTAACTAGTGCTGTAGTACTCAAGACTGGTCTTAAGGCCCCTTTTTGATGGTCTTGGTCTCGTGTCAGACTCGACCGCATTTGTCTTTTCTCGGTTTCGGACATTGAGGACTCGGGATTTTATTTTAAGACCAGTAAAGACCATAACTTTGGGAATATCAATAAATTGCTTTTGCATCGTCAGATTTATTTAACATCCAAACTTTGATTGGATGGAAAACATTTTGCTTCGTTTTGCAACCGATAACCCTAATTAAAAATGTGGTGTTTCCGTTAACGACTGCCCCCCCTCCCTGCGATGGTGTTGCTTACGTTGATTTTGTTTTAATGGGAATGTGGATCTTTCAGATCAATCTGAAAAGTACCTCTGATCTCGTTCCACATTTTATTGTGTGTCATGTAATGTGGGGAACTGGTCTTGGTCTTGTCTCGGTCTCGATAAACTCTGGTCTTGGTCTTGACTTAGTCTCAGTTTGGGCGGTCTTGACTACAACAGTACTTGTAACTCCTGCTGTGTCTTGTGGACCAATCAGCAGTTCATCAGCTGTTTTAATAACTCACCGTCACGTCTTTCAGCTCTCTGCTGCTGCTTCCTGCAAACACTTCCTGTAAAGATGTAAAAAATGAAGTCACTGACTAAAATCTAAAATATGACTTTAATCCAAAATGTAATAACTTTTAACTTAACAAGAAGAAACACAGTAGGAAAGAAAATGTAAAATTTCGATTTCCTGTCGGTCGGCGCGAAGCAACGAAGGAATTTGCGTGAGTTGAATATTTTCAACTCAAGCCGGTCTGGATTCAGATGCTGTTTACCCGCGGGAGCAGCTCATAGTTAACTGCTTTTATTAAATTAGATATTTACTTTAGTTTTTGGGATTTCAAGGTTGATTTATCTTCACTGGAGCTTCTCAGCAGCTTCTGTGCACATCTGGTTCCACTGTTGTTGTTAGCGTCGTTAGCTCAGTCGGACTACGACTTCATATTTACATAAAAAACGGATAAAACTGGACATTACGTGGAGAAAAGCGAGGAGGTTGAACTTCAGAAAATATGTAACTGTAACTTTGTTCCAGCTGTCGTACTTTACTGTGAACAGGTTAGCGTAGCATAGCCCTGATCGATCCAAACTCCATTCAGAAAACAAACATGTTAGAAGCTGCTGTCCTGCTGACAGACCTGACAAAGCTTCATGTTGTCGTTATTTCAGCATCAGTTTGATCCGTTTATTGCTGTTTAATCACAGCAAAATGTTTACTTTGGGTTCTGCTGGAGTAATGGCGAGTTGTTTAAAATCGCCTTCTCACTTTGTGTGTGAACACTTGCAGCGAATGTACTCACGCGAGGAAAGCGCCGCAAGGAGAAAATTCGCGGTTGGTCTGAAAGCACCATTAGAACCAAACCAGCATCTAATGTGACCCAACGGACATTTGTATGCAGCTAATTAGCTATGTAAGCTGCAAACTGATGTTAGCAGTGCACTTTAGCCCTCATCACTTCTCCTCTTCGGAGACCAGGCGGTTCCTTCCCTCATGTCATAAGTGTTGCATAGTTTGCCCACCAGAGGGCGCGCTGCAGCTCCTGTGTTCGTAACACCGCACAACGCTAATGCCGTGTTACTCAGTGGAGGAGGCAAACATCAAAGAGCGATTAAACTGTAGTGTCTCTAGCTACAGTCGGCGTGTCACTAATGATTAAACGTGAGCTGAACAAGCATCTAAGACACAGATGCAGGTCCTCGTTGTAGACAGTCATGTCATATCAGATTAATTCAAGGGCAGCGTTTCCTCTGCGTCACTGTATCATAAAGCCAGAAGGTGGTTAGGAAATCGTTTCTGTAGCTGTGACGCTGATAAACTAGATGTAGAAAGTAGTCATCGTGGCAGATTATATGTAAGGTAAGAACTACTGCATGACAAAAAAATATTTATATATAACTACTGGCCTATGTAGAGAGAGAGCCCTGTTTATTATTATTATTATTATTATTATTATTATAGCAAAGACACGAGAGATGATATACGGTATTATTATTATTTTTAGTAGCAGTACTATATTGGTATTTTTATATTTATTTTATATATATTTATTTCTGTTTCACTGGCCCCCAAAAACACTATTTAATGTTCATTAGTAGTAGTACTCAAATCAGATATTATAAAAATGTTTTCTGTAGTTTTTTACATTTATTTCATATTTATCAAAATTTTAATATATTTTGTTGTACTTTTGTTTGTTGTTTTATTTTTAAACTGCATTATGTCGTGGTATCTTGGTGAGGTCTCAACATAACAAATATTTGGGATAATCTTTGTTTATGTTATGCATTTCTTAAAATAAGGGGAAAAAGAATATTGGCTGATATATCGGCTTTCGGATTTTAAAATCCTCAAATATCAAAATCGGCATCGGACTTAAAAATCTCATATCCGTCGGGCTCTACTAAGTAGAAACAGAATTGACGTTAGACTTTGGCAGCATCATGAAACCAAAAATTATGAAATACAGATTTCTCCCATCTAGAAACGTTGTGCTGAATACAGGCAGCAGCAGAAACCAGACTGACGTGGACTTGGTTCTTGTAGGTGAACGTTACCTTCTGATGATGATGGATGCCGCTATGACGATGAGCACAGAGTGCAGAGTGAAGAAAACCAGACGAATAATCAGCAGAGGGTCAACTGATCCACTGTTGGATCCTGTGAATCAGATCAGACAGACAGGAAGCTGTAGGACATTAAACATTAAAACAAAGTCTTTATAACAATAGACAATAGACTCGTGTCAACAGCAGCTGAGGCTTATGGGTATTGTAGTTTTTATACCTGTCCACCAAACTGACCTGACGTCTTAAACTAGATTTAAATAACTCCAACTGTAACATAAATCTGTACGATGGTTACATTATCCAGGAAAGTCCTCTGAGTATAAATAAGTATCTACCACAGAGAAAACTGAGCAAACAAACCTTCTTCCTCCACCTGCAGGCTGTACGGCAGGGAGAGGCTGCTGACGCTGGCCTTCAAACCACAGGTGTACGTCCCAGAATCCCTTGCAGTCAGAGGGATGATGTGGAGGGCGGGGCCAGGCTCTGAGAGGGCGTGGCCATCTCTGAACCAGGTGACCTCCAGTTGGTGGAAGGTACAGAGTGCAGTGCAGTACAGAGTGACGGTTTCACCTCTTCTCAGCTCTCCGTCTCCTCTGGAGCTCTTTATCTGCATCTGAACATCTGAACGAGTTTAAAATACATTTTCATTATAAAAGTTCTTTTCGTTTTGATCAAAGTGATGTTTAAGACTTGGCAGAGCTTGAAATCACCATTTAAAGTCACTCACTGAGTTTTTGTAGTGCTGAAACGAATACTTTTGGTCCCCGTGGATACTTTTTATTATTGTTAGTATCAGTATATGAGTATTAAGAGCATGAAACATGAGAGGACCCTGTTGAAACAAAAATTTACGTCATGTTTTCATATGCATAAGCGTCACAAATGGGCTCGCTAGCGCCCCCTGAAGAACAGTCTCCGGACCGTATGTCTCTGTAGTAACTCCCAGGAGACTTCTGTGTGCACATGGAGTAGACTATAGTTACAATTCTGCATTACAACGAACGACTGTTTTCTACTCCCCTGGTAACAACGTCTATGTCACAGCAGCACCTAGTGGTCTAGCTGACTAACATTCAGTTCTGTCCCACAACAGTCTCCAAAATAAGGAGGGATTATTGGGCCAGAAGTAAAACTAAAAGTCTAAAACTATAAGTCGAATTCAAAAACTAAATTTGAATTATGAAAATGAATTTGATATTTAGGATTGGGCATTTATTCATTTAGCCATTTAGGATTTGGGAATTTAGGATTGAGGATTTGGCGATTGAATCATGTATGCAAATGAGGAGGTGTGACCCAAAGGCTGCAGGGATGGTTTGGAACAGCTGAGGCGCAGAGGCACTTTATGGACTGCAGGGGGAGCTCTGACTGCCAGCACACTGCCATGAAAGCAAGCAGAGGAAGTGAGCAGGGCTGGAGGGAGGACTATCATTTATAATACCATAACTAAAAGTGTACAGTATTTCTGTCCATGTGGCCTTCACACACAAAGTGAACAGTGAAAGGAATGTTATCCATCTGACGAGAAAGCAGCTAATCAGAAACAGAGGACACTACCAGCATCACTGCCGATGTCATTTGACCAGGGAGTGAATGGTGATTAATGCGATTGTCATCAGTGTTTTCCTAGTGTTTGTTTTTGTTCTTTCACTTCACTGTGTTCCCATCTGTCCTTGTGTTTGTTATTGCCCCATGCTCAGTCTCCTGGCTCCTGCTCAGCTGCCCTTTTAGGGCCTAAAGTCTACACTAGAGGTGTTTGAGGTTAACACAAGCTCCACTGTTTTTCCCCACTGACTTGTCCTCCCCCCCTGCAGACAAAGATGTTTCACCTGGACATGAAGGACCACTTGGTGTCACAGCTTTGGATCAGCCATCTGCAGCAGAGTCCCGGTCCACTGGCTCACACCACAAGTTGGAAATTACAGCTACAGCTGATTCAGTAAGCTCTGGATCCACTCAGGACTTTTTCTCTCACATAACTTACTCTTCATTGAAGGCTTGTATTTTATCTTGCAGAGTTTCTATGTGATCTATATGATCTATCTATATGATATATATGATCATGTTTTATTTTTCGCATTAAATAGCACAGAGGTGCAGTCTGACGGGAGAAGCTGCTTGTCTTGTATTTTCACCATATATAATTGCTGCTTTTGCACCTGAATTTCCTTTAGTGCAGTCTGATCTTAACTAGTATCCATTTATTCATTTATCTGACGCTTTTATCCAAAGCGACTTACAATTGCTATACATGTCAGAGGTCACATGCAGCAAGGAGGGGTTAAGTGTCTTGCTCACACAATGGTGGATGGGTCACAGTGGGAGATTGAACCTGGCACCAAAGGCAGGCATCTTATCCATTGCGCCATCACCCTGATACATTTGAATACAACATGGCCTATACAGTTATTACTTTACAAATATACAAACACATATACACCCAGGAAGTATTTGTCCAGTTTAATTTGTGTCAGGGAGAACGTAAACAGCAGTAAGATCATAATGATAAAATGCTTTTCTCCAACAGGATCTCAGTCTTTTTTTTTTACTGCAAAATGTTTTTGATCATCCAGTACTTGATGTCACTGATACAGTTGTCAAGGTCATCAGTAGGGCTGAGGATATCGTGAAAGTGAAATACACAACTGAGCCTTGTGGAACCTCAAAGAAAATGTCATAATTGCCAGTTTAAAAGTTGTCTAGAGACACAGAGAATGTGCTGGCAGTTAGATAGGAAGTGAGCCCCTTTAAGACACGGCCACATTGCCCAAATTAATTTTCTAGTTTACTTACTGATTAAAATGCTGTGGTTGACAGTGTCTAAGGCTGCAGTCCGTTCTAGAAACACTTGGATAGAAGGTTTGTTTGCAGCATTGTTGATCTTTCTCTCACGGACTACTTCAAAGCTGTTTCAGTGCTGCAGATTATATAGATTGTGGAGGGACAGGAAATTATGCAGTTGTTTGTAGACATCCTTTTCAAATATTTAACTAGGAAAAGGGATATTGGAGATTGGTCTGTAGTTGCTTATCACAGATGAGTCTAAGGGGTTCTTTGGGATCATAGAGGTAGTAGGTGAAAAATGATGCATTGTGCCCACAGTGTTGTGATGGTGTAGGGGCATAACATGAACGAAAGATGACTAGGGTTGGAGATCTGAAGGCATCTGAAGAAGAAAACACTAGGAAGCAAAGGAGAGATGATGAGGCAGGAGCTCTGAGTTGATTGAGCCTGAGATGTGAAACTGAGTTTTCAGTTCTTAAACAGCTGATCAAAAGTGGTTCAATCAACCCTGAGTGTGTTCAGAGTTAGTAAGTGGGGAATGAAAAGAAAACTACAACTCACCTTGGTAATGAGTAAATAAAGAGTGAAGTCTCCATTTCAATCCAGTGGCGCTAGAAATATGAATTCATGCTAACATGGACCATTTCATTTATCTTAAAAATACTGTAGTGGAGGAAGGACTAATGATTCAACACTATTACATTTGATTCGGTGAAGCACATCCATTGTTTAATAAAGTGCTGGGATCCTTCTGTATGTTAAATGGGACTTATTTAGCTGATGGGGACAAAATGCAGGTGGCAATAACTGAAGATGAACTTATGAATCAAACAGATAAGACAGTTTACTCAAATACCTGTGAATGTAAAGTCACAGTCCAACCCATTAATAAAGACTGTGGTGATTTGCAGTTGAAACGTCTAGGTTCAAATTGACTCTATTTTACATGCATCTGTAGATGTTCAAAGACTTTGGAACTCCATTTAGTCCAAACCCAACGTTAACCATGGTGCATCCAATTTTAGTCACCGTTTTTGTTAAAATCTAACTAGCAGTAATTAAGCCTCTAGTGTCGAGTTTATGCCCTAACTTAGGAGAGAAGTATTTGTTGCACATCTGAATAAAAACTCAGAGTGGCTTTGACTGTATTTACTAAAATCTGCAACATACATAAACAGATTGAAACATTGTTATCAGCATGGTCAGTTCAGACTCACCTGAAGTTACAGAAATGCACTGCTATGTTGAGGCTTCTCACATAACTCACTATATAACCGTAAACCAATAAAGGAAAACGTTTGGCACAACTCCTACATTATAAGTTCTCCGGCGCGGAGCGTTTTTATATTCGACAACTTATATTATTATGTCTGTGGAAAATCTGTGGAAAGTATTTTTGTAACTGTCGTGATATGTGTGTGAAGCGCCAGTCCTCTGCACAATATCTGTCGTTGTTGTTTACATGTTAACTGTAGTTAAACGATGTAACAGTAGTCCGTGTGTATTTATTGATATAAAAATGTGTTTTGGACTAAATATTTTACTGGATTGGATCGTCTGGACCTTTGCCAACAAAACAAGGCCAGTTTTGTCTGAATGTAATTCATCGATAGGCTACGTCGTCTCTAGTAAGTGGAGTCTATTTTGATTGTTAGCAGCGCTTGAAGTGGGGCTGTACGCCCGGTACGCAGTACCAGCACCTTGACATTTTACTCTTTGGCGCACCGGGACTTCTCCCCAGCGGCCGGTCCTCTCCTCTGCCCTCCCCATATCAGGTACTCTGGGCGCTACGTGGCGCTCACTTGTTCCTGTTCTCGCCTGCCTTATCTCTGTCGGCGGAGAGAGACGAGGAAGAACAGAATCTGTCTTTCATGCGGTCGTGTGCATAAAGTTGCCCATCAACGTAACTTTTCGTGAACCGACTCATCACAGCCTGGAGGCGACGGGACACTAAAAAAAAAATTTGATGCACTACAGCGTCAATGCATGAATGATTATTGACGAGTAGTACTTAGCATTAACTAACGTTAATTACAAACTGATCACCATGTAGATAATTTTTCTTACACAAATTTAATGGATGGAAACAACCCACACAAAGGAAACTGCTGTCCAACTGGACCTCATATTATAGTAGTGGTAAGATACATAGGCTATCTGAAATTATAATGAATACACTAACATTAGCCCTAATACCGGCTGATAAACAAGGTAACATGTAAATGGGGAGTACCAGCAGGGCAGGGCAATAAAACAATGATACTTATCCCAATATAATTATCCGCAATAACAATATAACAGATTTTCAATAAATGTTTAATTTAATTCATTTGAATCAAAGACAAATCAGCACAAATTTTTCTATTTAGATACTCCTTTTGTTGAGGAAAAGGGAATCAGATTGTACCTAATGTTACTCATGCATAGTTGTTGAAAAAAGATTTTGTCATTTGAATGTTCTCTGCTTAGATTTGTAGATTTGTGTCCACTGTTTGTCATTAAGTGGCACAATTAACTGTCTGGTTTCCCCAACTTTCACTCAGGAGCAAAAATCTGCCATTAAACTTGAAAGAAACAATGATTTACCATTTGTTGTTATTATAATTATTGATATCCAATGATAAGATATTTCTGGCCATATCATCCAGTCCTTTTTCCACTTGAAGCATTGATTATAGGTGGCGGCAGTC